AGTTTTGGTTTAAAGAGAATGTCCAACACGTATCTGACATGTGGGTCAGTGAACCCTTCTTCCTTCGCGGGATCGTCAGTCAACAAGACTCATTTAAAAGACTGAAAGCACTGATTCGAACATCGACTGGCTTCCCGGAACATGCAGGACAGCTCAAAACGGGGCTATATCAACCCCACAGAATCTCATCCTTCACCCTTCATAGATACTGTGGCTGAGGATAAGGTAGGCTTGCCCAAAAAAGCGAATGTAACGTCACACATCCCGAAAGAACAATGATTTTTTGAACGAACCCATATTTTTTGATGACCGCTATTGGATATGAAAGCATGTTGTCAAGCTCAAGCATCTGTTCCGTCTTTTCGTGGAGTATTCTTTGACGTCGTCGACGTAGTTCAATCACAGCTCGGCACAGTAGCATCAGATGAAACGTCCTGAATTCCACCTAACAACTGAAACCTTCCATCCACCAGAATTTGGCGCAGGTCCTGCCAAGAATTTCGACCTACCTGTCATCCCTTATATGCATCTTCACTTCCATTTCATCGAGAGAAATCTTATGGCAACCGTGTTCAAGAAATGGGCATGCGTATACGCCCTCGGGTAAATTCCTCAGTAATTCCGAGCCGGTCATTCCGTCGTCGCCTATAAAAGAAAGGAGATGGCGGTGAGTTGGGGCCGAGTGAGGCCGCTATTACCCATATAATTCTAGGATCAAATTGTAAATCGATATCCGTTCAGGCTTATCAAGAGTTTCATTACTTAGGGATCGAGTAACTGTTATCAGACGTCTGGGAGGAGGAGTGCCCCGGTTACGATATCGGCCAGCCCCCAATTCATTGGTGAGGTCTGAGCAGCATTCCAAGACCGCTAGAATTCTGAATGGAAATCGAACGTATGGGCTCTTTCCCAAATGGGATTGAATGGTGCCAAAAGTTTTGTCCCTCACAGTTTTGTTGAAGGGTTGAAGCAAGCAGTAATATTGGATAGATTCTTCCAAGGTTACCCATAAGTCAAGCGCAAAATTGATCCATTCCACAGGACCAGCAAAAGGACAGGCTGAATATCTCTGAAGGTCCTGTTATTGAATCTGAGCTCAAATGCAAACTGACCCATACCATCGTATTTGTCCATGGTTGGTTTGATAGATGGCATGCTCATTATTCCATCAACTTCTTCATTTGACGGTTTTGTTGGCTGCGCCTCATCTGCAAAATCTACTAAGTTCCGAAAATTGAGGCTCAAACTGCTTGAAACGCATGAAGCGATGGCTTATTCTCCTTTTTGATGCTTCAGCTTTTATGTCCTACAGTAAGCCAACGTCGTCCCCTTCCTCCCTTATGACTACTGTATTCCAAGATGCCTCGTCGCTTTGATCCCATTACAGGAGTCACTACTTATTACTACATATATATTTTGAAAGGAAAGCTCTTCAGCAAAGTCTACCTTTCCCCTACCCCTGGCTTGTCCTTCCCTTTCCCTTCTTCCACGCCTCCTTTGATCGGAATTGTTGAATGTGCTAGACCCGCCCCTTTTGCTTCACCTTTCACAATTAATCAACTTAGTAATTGTCATGTATTCTCCCTCTAGTCTTCCTTGTTCAGCGTAGCTGCAGATGATCGCCTCTTTTACCCCAGTATTGATCGTTCAGGCGACACGGATCAAGCGGAGGTATTTCGAGATTGGGTACTTCTCCCCAAAAATCGCATCGCGCTCGCCGCATCTGATCGCGCACCGTCGCGCGCTATGAAGGGGAAGGTTTGAATTTAGTGTGGGAGGACACGGTAGCCGTCACGGTACGAATGCAACTCGCCGTGGAGGTTCGGGGAACTATCACCATGCTTGTATTTTTACGCGACCTCCCGCGGCAAGCTACAGTGGTATCGCGGCAATTACCGAAATACTCCATTGATAACCCAAATCTTCCTCTTCGCGATTGTGTGCGGCCAGCACGGACGCCGTTAGGTTAGAAGCATCTACTCCTACGCGATCGTTCCCATCATAAAACGCGATTGAAGCCTAGCCGCTCCCAGTTAAACTTTCTGTCGTTTGATCGACTCACCAAGTCTCGTTTGATCAGGTTCACTAAGTGGCTCCGTTGCTGGGGCCGTAGGACAGGACGTGATGCTAGTTCTGTCCTCTCTGTCTGTTCGTGGTGTCTTCGATTCCTGCTTCTCCTCTTCTAATTCCTCATCGGTTTTCTCCTCATCGGCACTTTCTGGGAGCATCATTACGTCTGAATTGTGAAGTTTAAGCCTAGGTATGCCTGTCTTTTGATCTTAACTTTTTACCCGGACCTTTCCACCAGTTGCTGGACCCTCATGATGAGCGCTTACCAGTTTTTGTGTACTCCCTGGCTAGTATAAGCTACCTATGTGAATCACAGATGCCCAACCCCATGACCTTTTGTCTGTTCCATAAATTTTACCTACAAGTTCAAAGTTTGACCCATTAATGAGAACTTAGAAAGACTTGAAATGAAGTTCGGATACCTCCCATACGTATGAAACGCCATACGTATAAGAAGGTGTCGGAACCTCCTACAAGTCTTTCTGAATCCAGAATTAGATATTAAAAAGTTTTGATCGACTTTTGTGCAAGCTCAAATCCTTCTTTTGTCTATTGCGCCTTTCCTTGTCCTACAAACAATCATTCAATGGCATCTTTCTTGGGAATGATGAGTAGGGAGATCTGAAGCAAGAACTTTTTTGGCAGAAGTTACCATGCCCTTGACTCAAATGACGCTGAATGGAGGTCAAGGAAGTAGGGAAGAGAATATCTGTTTCAGCTCAGCTTCACGCTCGTAGTTTCTCAAAAGACCTCGGTACAACTTGTCAGGTAGCATGATGACAGTGGTGTTGTGAGCCTCGTAGCTTTTTGAACCAACTGGAATCACTCAGCACTCCAGCTGACACTGGTGCTACCATCAATCACTTGATGGTAGCACCAGTGTCAGCTGGAGTAGGTTTGAATTCAAAAAAAAGGAACGCCTACCTCAGTGAGCTGGGTGATTTTGGAGAGATCATAAAGCTGTGAGGACCACAACGCCAATGTGATCTTACATCTTAAGTGCTCGGATTCAACAAATAATTGTGTCAACGATTTTAGCGATCCCATTATCGCCGACGAAAAACTGTAAACCCTCACCAGATCGAGCTTTTCTCGAGTGGAAGGAGTTCCTGCGTGGAGTTACCTGCTCCTCCACTTCCTCTTGCCCTTGTCTGCTGCTACTTCTTCTATCTGCTGTTCTTGGGAGTATCATTATGTCTGAATTTGTAAATATGAAAGCGATACGGATTCGAACGAGCCCGAATATTCACGATCTTCAAATCAACTGAATTTACTATACTCATTTCTCATGTCTGATTCCCCTATGAATATTTTGCTTCTTATTTTTGACCTCTTTTAACGCCCCATTCATCTTACTGGTTAGGCAAATTTCCGTCGCTTTAGCTCTATAATTTTTACTGAATGGATCTGTGAT